CATTCTCTCACACAGCGTCTTACTTTTTCCTCCCAATGAGTCTATAGGTGAGATAGAAATTCTCAACATCATGAAAGAAAAAGTTTGGGAGGGGCAGTTAATGAAGTGGCTTTCTAGAATCTGGCTTCTAGAACTGGAGTCAGAAATCAGTCCTTTTGCCTCCAAGTCAAGTGTCCTCTGTACCACTCTGCTTCTTTATGGTTTAAGGAACAAAGTAGATAGCCATAATTTTTGATTACCCATCATTATCTAATTTTAGGCCATAGCAGCTCAACTATCTGTTCCCATATGCAGAGCAGGTGGCTCAGGCAGAGATAACCTTTTTTTACCTTTGCTTCAGGTTGAACACAGTGCAAATTAGGGAAGAGCTCCCCTCCCCAAGCTGACTTAGACCTGTACTGGGAAGAAGGCTTGTTAAGTACAGCTCATTCTGGTCTCCATACCATACTCGTCCTCTCTGTAATGAGTACAAAGATCTGTAGTGGCCTTCCCAGTCTCTCAGACGTGGATGGACAGAATCAGAGATGCATATCTGATCCAAGGCAAGTGATTGAAATAGTTTAGTGTTTCACATTGGGCTCCTATCCCGCTGGAGTTGCTGTATAGGTGTCCACTTTGCCTTTACTAGGGAAGAACATATTTAAGAATTAGGTCCCTGTCCCACTTAGAGTTACCATTGCTGTGAGAAAACACCATGACCAAAGCTACTTGGGGAGGAAATGGTTTATTTGGGTTAAACTTCCATAGTACTGTTGGAGGAGGTCAGAACAGGAACTAGTACAGGGCAGGAACCTGGAGGCTGGAGCTGATGCAGAAAGCGTGGAGGAGTACTGCTTACTGCCTTGCTTCTCATGGCTTGCTCAGCCTCCATTCTTTCTTCGTTTCTTTCTTCTGAGACAGAAACTTAGAATCTTTCCGATATAGTCCTGGCTGTTTCAGAAGTCTCAAATTTACAGAGATGGTTTTGTTTTTGCCTCTCGAGTGCAGGGATGAAAGGCATATGCCACCGAGTCTGGCTACCAGTGATTTCTTAAGGACTTTTAACTTAGAAATAGACCACATTATATCCTTTCAACTTTGAGCCTTTGGCATGCTTTCAAAGTACTAGGACAACTCATTCAAGTAACGTTTATCAGGTTTTAGGGGACTCTTAGAATTGATGCTATCACAGAAGCCATTCATACAGATGGAGGGAACTAAAAAGAGATTGGTGATGATCCGGGATGTGTACAAGGTTGCTCTTGATTGTCAGCTTGATGGGGTTTAGAATTTTACCTCAAAGACATACTTCTGGGCTCCGTGTTAGAGTGTTTCTAGAGAGGATGAGCTGAGATGATTTGCTCATTGGGTGGAATTTTCCAAGGAAGCCCAAGTATTAAGAGAGCTGAGGAAACAGCTCTGTGTGCCAGGCTGTCATGGCTTCTTCCTATATATGCGCTTCTATCATTGCTGCCACCATTTTTCTGCAGCATCAGATGCCAGCTCTTCTGGCCTTCGGATGTGAATTCCACACCAGGAACATTGCAGGGAGCTTCAGCCTCCAGCACCAGACTAGGACTGTGGAGACCTTTATGTTGGCGGACTGAAAAGCAATGGGGGTTCAGCTCCTCCAGCAGGCAGATGGCCATTGTTGAAACATACCACTGCTGCTACTGCTGCTACCACCATCTTACTTATCATGAAAGTCAATCGAATAACTCCTTTTCTATAGTCAGTCAGGTTTGTTCCTCTAAAGAACAAACAATCCACTATGAGTGGATTGCAGGCTTTATTTAGGGGGGGGGATGGGACAATGAGGACTTGAGATGAAGTACGAGCCAAGAATTTTGGCTTTGTGCTGTCTAATGTTTTAGTTAAATTAATTTGGCTGAGGTGTGAGGACTAAAGGAGAGCTAAGGGAACCTGAAGGCATCAAGGCCAGCTGAGAATCTATTTAGATATTTGAGGTATGCGGCGCTGATTAAAAAGCAGAGTTTGATTTAAAAAATAACAAAGAGTTTGTTCTTCCCAAATTATTTTTCAGGTCTTAAATCACAATTTTTAATCTGTTTTTAGAAGGTAAGGTGTTAAGACATTCTGAAACAATATAAATATAATTTATGTGGAGGCAGAGACATGCTTGATGAATTATAAATTATATGATGTAATTAGGAGTGATTTATAGAGCTGTGAAATTTAGTGCCTCATAATTAGTGTGGGTCCTAATTAGCCAAATTTACACAGGCAGATATACTTCAATTTAAGTTTTTCAAATGGATAGTCTGGAGTTATTGAACAAGTAGATTTGAATTCTTTACTCTAGTCTAAACATGGAATCTGAAATGTGTTGAATTCCATTTGACTGGTACTCTTTGTCATGCTCATAGAGTGGACATTAAAGAGTAATAAAATCCTGTATGTGATTTGAGAGGGTTATTTCCCACTTGTAACTCAATAAGACGGCCTCTTTAATTTTATCAACACTCTCTACCCAGTACATGGGTAGAGAGTGAAGCGAGCATGTCGTCAGGCTTTATTTTAGCAGGTGAGAAAGCAAAAGTGGGAAGTAAATATACCCTCCAGAGCACAGGGTGGGTCACATGGGGCAATGGGCTGCCCCATCCATATAGTAGTCTTGGATGATTCCATTCTTCAGTAGGCTTTTTGTGTGTGGTGGTGGTGGTGGTGGTGGTTGTGGTAGTAGTTTGAAGTTAAAATGTTCCCCCTGGGCTCAAGTATTTGAACTCTTGGTTCCCAGTTGCTGACATTGTTTGGGGAGGTGGTACAACCTTGCTGGAGGAGGTACATTACTGAGCATGCTCTTTAAGAGTCATAGCTTCACTTCCAGTTTGATGTCTGCTTTCTGCTTGTAGTTGGAGATGGGACCCCTCAGCTTCCTCCTTTTGCCTTCATGCCTGTCACCTACTGCTCTGCCTGTCTGCTGTGATGGACTCTTATCCATCTAGAACCATAAGCCAAAATAAAGTCTTCCACACCTTGCTCTTGGACATGGCATTTTATCACAGCAATAAAATAAACAGTTAATACAACACCTTTACTCACAATCCAGTCTTTTACAACTAGATGCTGGAAATTATAAAAATATAAGTACTTGTAAAGTTGAGATGTTTAGGGAAAAGGCCAGTGATGCCTAGTATATGCTACTTTGTCTGCCATGTTCTTTTCTTTCTTTTATTTCACCAGTCTTTTTAGTATCAATTAAATTATGTTGCTTTCTTTAAGCTAAGCACTGTTTGTTGTTGTTGTTGGTGGTGGTTTGTTTTGTTTTTTGAGATGCTGGGGTGTTGAACCTAGCAAGGTTTTAAAAATCCGGTTTTGTTTAATATAGTTTGGTCTTTTTGAGACAGAATCTCATATGGTAGCCAGTGTTAGACTATAAAGGCATAGAACTCAGGCTGGCCTCAAACACGTGGTAATCGACCATCCTGCCTAAGGCCAAGCACATTTTAGAAGTTAGTTGTCCCAGTGTTGTGTTCTTCCATGTATAATGTATGAACTTCTAATTTAGCAAAATTGACAACCAATGGTTAGAAAGAATTAAATTCACTCTTGATTGTCTTAGAATATAAGGCTCATCTACCTCAAAATAGAACTGTAGCTTTGAGTCAGGACGCCTAGTGATGCAGTAAAAGTTTAGAGAATTTCTCATTTACTTGATAATTTAATGAAAATTTAAACACAATCCTACTTAAAAGAAGAGGCACACACATGTAGAAAGCTCAATATACACAGTATTACTTTTTTATTGGGCCATGGCAGTTCTTATTTATTCCCTCGTTCAGTAAGCATTTATTGAACTATTACTCAATAATTGGCATTGAGGATTCAATAATAAGGAAGACACAAACAGTTCTTCCCCAAAAGAGGTAACAATCACCTGGAAGAGGCAACAGAATAATCACACAAAGAAAGCACTTCAAAGGAAAGGATTAGTATGAGTGAATAAAAGAGATTCGAATGGTTGCTCCTGAGGCATTGTTTCTTTGTAACGCCAGTTCAGCTACAATTTGAAAAAATAAGGAGTTTCAGAGACATGAAAGCTTGACATGCTAAAACGTCCTATGTTGAAAAAGGATAGCATGGGAAGCGATTTGGTCAAAGAGCACAAAACTCTAATGGCGGAACTGTAGGTAGAGCCCAAGACACTATCAGACTTGACAGGCTCTGCGGAGAATTTCAGACTTTTATCTCATGACCAGCGGGGCAGCGGAAAGATTTGGAGGGGGTGTGACAAGCTTAGACTTGTATTTTTAGAACTCCTAGCTGTTGGGGGATAGTGGGACAAAGGAGTAGAGCGAAGACTACAGGAGTACTGCCACATCCACAAGACCATGAAGGACCAGGATAATGTTGGGTGGAACCTCAAAAAGGTGAACCTGGGTCCCCCTTTGGAGGTAGAGCGATTGAAAACTCAACTAGTAAACCAGTTCTACCGAGTCAAACCCCTGTTCCAATAAGATCGATCAAACAGGCTGGTGATACGTTGCGTGATGTCCCCACCATCCCTCCAGAACGGCTAGAAGACCCTCCCATATTCCCGCCCAATGAAGGCTCAGGGCTGTGTTTCCCAGCCCGCAAGAAAGGCCCACGCCTTCATCTGTGGAGGTCATAGGTAGAGGCGTGGAACAGAAAGGTTTCCTGGGCAACGCCATTGTCGCGCTCCAGGCGGGGGCGGGGTAACCAAGGATCAGGACTCCAGAGAATCCGGAAGAGAGGGAGAGTAAAGAGGCGTGGAAAACGGGACACAGGAGCTTCGGCCCGGGCTATGGCGGATGATTCCAGTGTTCTCGCACAAGGCTAGAGTGGGAGGAGCCGAGGAACGGGCCTGTGATTGGCTGGCTGGGGGCAGCGGGCCTCTCATGATTGGGCGAGGCAGCGCGTAGGGTTCTGGGTAGCCAAGGCCTTGGAAGGGTCTTAACCGAAAGGGGGAGGGGGAGGCCGCCAACAAACGGCTGAGCTCACAATCCCGGCTGCGACCTAGCCGGCCGTCCCCCTCCCCCATGGAGAGAGCCAGGCCAGAGCCGACGCCGCCGACGCCGCGCCAACCGCCGCGCCCGTTGCGTCCCGCTCCGCCCGCGAAGGCCGTCGAGGCCGCCACCTTCCGGGCCGCGGCCGTCGAGCATTCCCAGTCGCCGCCGGGCCAGGCCTCGGCCGCCATCGGTGCGGTGGCCTCGTCGTGCGGGGAGGCCGCGGCGGCAGGTGCGCAGGCTGGGACGCGGCGCCTGCTGCAAGTGAAGCAGGAGCAGGTGCTGCTGCTGTCTCCCGGACCGCTGCTGCCTCAGGCTCCCGACGAGAGCGCCGCCGCCGCCGCTGCTGCCGCTGCCTCGTCCGCGCAGGCGCGCCTGTTGCAGCTGAGGCCCGAGTTGCTGCTGTTGCCGCAGCAGTCTGTGGCCGACGGAGGCCCTTGCAGGCCGGAGCTGCGCCCCATGCAGCCCCGGACGCTGCTCGTCAAGGCGGAGAAACAGGAGCTTGGGGCGGGCTTGGACCTGTCGTTGGGATCTCGGAGGACCACCGAGGCCGGCCCCAGAGCCTCCAGGGCCGCCAAGTTGGATGGCACCGGGAAGGCCCTCGATGGCCGCCGAGGGGATGAGAAGAAAGCCAAGCTGGAGGCAGAGGAGGCATCAAGGGATGCACTGAAAGGCGGGGAAGGCAGGAGCCTGCTGGTCATGGGAGAAGGAGTCATCAAGACTGAGGAGCCAGACAGACTCAGGGACGACTGCAGGATGGGCACGGAGGCCACGTCCAATAGCCTGGTCCAGTGCAGCAAGGAGGCCATCCTGGGCCAGCCTCCCAGTGCTTTTGGTCCGCACCAGCAAGACCTGAGGTTCCCTTTGACTCTCCACACGGTGCCTCCTGGGGCCCGCATCCAGTTTCAGGGACCTCCGCCTTCAGAGCTGATACGGTTGTCCAAGGTCCCCCTGACACCAGTGCCTATTAAAATGCAGTCCTTACTGGAGCCTTCTGTAAAAATTGAAACCAAAGATGTCCCCCTCACCGTGCTTCCCTCAGACGCAGGTATTAGAAGGCAGGGGAGTCTGGCTTTCAGTTACGTTTATGTTGCCCATAGCAAACATATTACCAGTTCGGGACTCACGTTTGCAGATCAGGCTGGTGTTGAAGTCACAGCGATCGGCCTGTCTCTGCCTCCCTGAGTGCTGGGAGCTAAGTTGTTTTTTTTTTTTTTTTTTTTTAAAAAAAAAAAAATGATTGTAGTTGAAATAATTCCTACAGCCAAATATGACTTTCCAATATTTTCAGGTTTATCAAGCAAGTCCTTAGGATTAGTTCACACAGAACGGTGTCACTGAATGTCTTAATGGTTTAATGAACTTTTGTTTCAATTTTCAGTGCTGATGCTACCCACCCTTCTCTTATGTTTTTTACCTTTTACATTTTACCCATTTTCTATTTTGTGTGTTCATGCACATGCATGTTCCCAAGCCCTTCTGGGTTCACACCACTTACTACCCCTGATTTATAGGGCATTAGGGAGTGAACCCAGGGCTTTCTGCATACCAGGCAAACATTCTACCAAACTAAGCTTCATCCTCAGTTCAGCATTACTTTTTCTAAACATCCTTTGTACAACTAAAACGTTTTTACATATCAAGTAACTCTACAATGAATTAATCTGAGAAGTTCATAGATAGTGATTTTATGAACTGTGTAGGGATATAATTTTAGTAAATTTCCTTTATATGAATTTTAAGTATACCATGACTCTCAGGGTCACTTTTATTTTTCTTCCAGGACAGGAATCTAGTTTTAATGGTTCAGGAGTTTCATCTTTGTAGTGAAAAACTGTGGTTAGCATAATTTTTACATTAAAGGACACTACAGCTGCTTCAATAGTTGACTTCTTTTAAATACTTATATAACTAACACTTACATACTGCTAGGTGCATAGTTATAATCATAGCTCCTGCTTCCTGGTTTTAGTGGGAAATAAATGTTAACTACTGTTCAAGATATTAATGCAGCTAAAAGAAATAAACTAGCCATCCACTGTGTCTCTAATATTACTTTAACAATATTATACTTTCCAGAAGTCACTCTGAGCTACGATTTAGAATGTTGAATTCAGGGACTATAAGGAAATTTGGAATATTGGCAGTACTTTGGCTATATTGTACTGTACGTTTTCAGATACTTTATAAGTGTAGATGAAGGTACACATCACTTTAAAATTGCATAAGTGGCATATTAACTTAGTGTCTTAATTTTTGTCATATAGGAATACCTGATACTCCCTTCAGTAAGGACAGAAATGGTCATGTGAAGCGACCAATGAATGCATTTATGGTTTGGGCAAGAATCCACCGACCAGCACTAGCCAAAGCTAACCCAGCCGCCAACAATGCAGAAATCAGTGTCCAGCTCGGGTTAGAGTGGAACAAACTTAGTGAAGAACAAAAGAAACCTTATTATGATGAAGCACAAAAGATTAAAGAAAAGCACAGAGAGGAATTTCCTGGTAATCAAATGAAATGAACAAAGGCTCTTTCCAATTTCTTTTAAATTTATTTAGGTAAAGATTAAGTTAGGTTGAGATTTCCTAATCTTATATGTGAGAAAGAAAATAATGGCTAACATAATAATGATTGAATTAATACGAAGCATACTTTTTCTTAACTAGAATGCTGTTGTGAAATAATCTGGTTTCATATATACCAGCTAATGGAAATCAGGAGATACACATTTTTACTGTAGTTTTGATTGAATACATATATCTGCATCCTATAGCTATAAAGTTAACAGTAAATCTCCATGGTTCTGTTTTGTAATATACTAGACATTAAATAATAATGGCAACAGAAAAAAACATAGTTCACACTTAAAAATAATTAAAATGCAGGAATTGATATCTTGTTCTGTTTTAATGTTAAGTGGTTATCAGAACATAATCCTGCGTTTGATTAATAGATTTATTCTTTTCACAATACAGTTTGAAATGAGTGATTTGCCCTCAGCAGTAAGGGCATTGAGATAAAGGTTGGAAACTTCACATTCTTTGTGGTGTATATAACTGTACAAAATGCGAACAGAGTTTCTTTTTAGATAATAAGCAGAAATATTTTAGGCAAGATTCTTAGGTATCAAGTGGATGGGCTAGTGATTTGTTTATGTGACAAATGCCACACTTCTGACTCTGGGAGGAAATTAAGTTGTTCATGGTTTTAGTAATTGCCAAGTCTCAGAGAGTGATGAGTGATTCCCTAAATGAGGCATAAAAATAGTGACTGGTTATTATTGACGATTACATTGTAAGCCACTGATATCTTACAGAGTGAGGACAGAGGGGGAGATAAACAATATTATCTTAAGGGGTATTTTTCTTCAGTAGAGGGAAGGCTTTGGGATTCAAACTCAGTGTCTGGTGTAGATTCTACCACAAAGTCAGTCCGTGTCTGAGTTGACCTTCCTCTCTTTTATGGGTTACAAAATTAACAGAATTAGAAGCTAGTGGATGCTAAAATGCGCAGTGAAGGATTTGTTCACAGACATAGTAGCATCACGGAGCTGAAAAATGTACTTTTGGATAACCCATTTTTTGAAATTTTTGTCCTGTATTTTTAACGTGAAAAGAGCAGAGTCTGTATATTCATATTAAAAAGTCTCTTTTTTTCTATAGGTTGGGTTTATCAGCCTCGTCCAGGGAAGCGAAAACGCTTCCCTCTAAGTGTTTCCAATGTATTTTCTGGTACCACACAGAATATTATCTCTACAAATCCTACAACAATTTATCCTTATCGCTCACCTACCTACTCTGTGGTAATTCCCGGCCTTCAGAACACCATCACTCATCCAGTTGGTGAGTTGGTCCTATTATAGATTATTTGTAAACACCTATAACAAAATTTTACCTCTTAAGTTGAAATTTATTTTCTATTAAACTTAGAATTTAAAACAATAGTAAATAAATAAAATCAAGAAGACAGAAAATGAAACAGTAAATGGGAGAAGGACCTATAGCAGCTCCATGTGGAAAACTCTGACTTTTTAAGCAAGTCAAGGTGATCTCTTAGTCAGATAATGAAGGAAATTGCCGGTATAATTAAATAGAAAATTGGGATGTTTTTCACCTTCAGCCTAAAAGAATACTTCCCTAATGGGGTATGAGGTTCCTGTCATGGAACTTAGTAAGGCTACTGACCTGTTGAAGGTCATTCTCTTGCTGCTCCAGAAAAGCAAGGGAAGCTACCATTTCCTATAAATACTTGTTTGGTTCATGTTCCTTACATTCTGGCCTGTGGATGGTAGGAATGCTAAATTGGTACTCTGAAATCTTCACTACTTATTAAATCATTGTCTTGTTCCCCCAGAACTTTTATAACCTCTCTTAAGGAGAGAACCCTCTATTCACAGTTGCTATTCATTGTCTTAAAGCTGCTCTTTCCAGTTTCTGCCTGCCTGGATTCTCCTAATGATAAAACTGGCCTTATGAGCTAGAGATGGATAGATCTTGGAAATGGACTTATTAATATTATGCATTTTCAGTAATTTTTAATTAAAGATTTTTCTTTTATGTATACAAGTGTTTTGTTTTCCTAAATCTTAAGTACACTGTGTGTGTGTGTGTGTGTGTGTGTGCGTGTGCGTGTGCGCGTGCGCGCGCGTGCGCGTGTGCATGCATGGTTGTATGCACCTAGTGTCAGTGGAGATCAGAAGGTGTCAGGTCTCCTAGCCCTGGAGTTGCACTCTGCCATTTGGGTCTGGGAACTGGTTGTAAGCTGCCATTCGGGCACTGGGTCCTCTGCAAGAGCAGCAAGTATTCTTAACTTTTGGGCTCTCTCTCCAGCCCTATTTTCAATATCATTTAAACTGTGTCATTTTAGTCAATGGAAGTAATAAAGGTGCACTCAAGATATCTCAGGTGGAAGGTGTAGAAAGTTGATCTGTAGCTTCAATTTTACAATACAGCCAGGCACTCTTAGTGTTGCTTCTTTTTTCCCCTCCTCCTGCCCCAGAAGACTTGACTTGCATCTGTAATGCATCTCCATTGTTAAATGTTCATGTTTCTGAGGAACAGATCTATCAATGTTCTTATTTGAAGCAGTTGAGATTTTATACAATGTATTACTTTTAAACCATCGGTACAAAAATATGGGCTTGAAGAAGACTGTAGATTTTTTTTTCTGATATTGGTAGGGTTTGTGGATCATGATTTTGTTATTTAAGTATGGTAGACAGAATTACAAGAAATAGTTTAGAAACATACGAAACAGTAAACAAAACTGTGATAATGAGTCTTTGTTGGCGACTTTAAAAATTTTTTTTACAAGACCATATATATCTTGTGAGGGCCAGAGATGGTAAAGATTCATTTTCTGCATCTTAAATGATAAGCACAAACATTTTATAAAGATAATTTGAGAATTGTTTTTAGATAAGTATCATTCATAGTGAGAAGATTTATTTGCTACCATGATGTACAGTTTTGCAACTTTGAAATGTGTTTAGTTATTCCTATCAGCTTGGTATTATAGTATTTAGAGATCATAGTATAACTAGGAAGTTTGGAAATTTCACATTCTAAATATCCATAAAATTATTAAAATTAGTTAATAGACTATATCATAAGTCCCTTAAATAACTATTGTTACTGGCTAGGCATGGTGGCACACACACCTTTAGGGAGACAGAAACAAGTATTTCTCTGTGAGTTTAAGGCCAGCCTGGTCTATAGAACATGTTCTTGAATAGCCAGGGCTACACAGAGAAACCCTGTCTCAAACAAATAAACAAACAAACAAAAAACAAAAGAATCACAGTTTTAATCTTCACAGATAACTGATTTTAATACCTTCTTTGCTTCTTTTAATTAGTTTTATGTTCTAAATATAAAGTCATGGTAATTTTGATTTTTAGACATTTATTCTTATGGAAGAAAGATATCAAGGTCATGAGGCATAATTTTTCTTTTACAGAATAATTCTTTTTTCTAGTAATTTTTGTGCATTTATGATGCTGTATAGGCGACTAATTTTTTAGGTACAGAAAGTAGATTCACTAATCTAGTGTGCTCCAGATCACCATTTAGTAACTAAAAGTTGTTCTTTTTTGTGTTTCTTTGCTGTGATAAAATATCCTTAGGGGAGAAAGGGTTTATTTTAGTTTATAGTTCTAGGTCAGAGTCCATCTCAGGGATGTAAAGGCAGCAGACACCTAAACAGCTAGTCACATCATATCTTCCATCAAGATTAGAGAGAGTAAATGGATCTATGCTGCTTTTTTTCTTGCTGGCTTGCACTCAGCTCAGTTTCTTTACTCTTAACAAAACTTCCTGCCTAGGTAGTGGTACCATCCACAGTGGGCCGCGTGTTCTCATATCAATTAATACAATCTTCACACACCCACAGGCCGACTCAGTGTGAACGGTCCCTCATTGAGACACTTTCCAAGTGATTCTAGGCTGTATGAAATTGACATTTTAGTGCTAACTATCACAGAGGTGATGTAGACTTAGCACAATTGCATTCTCAGAAGCTACTTCTATCTATATTACCTAATATCTTAGGCTTTAGCTTTGAGTTTCCCTACAACAATTTTGATAATGATAGCTTGAGATCTATTGTCAGTTTGTAAACTTACCATTATATTGTATTGGTCTAGGATTCTCAAACTTCCTTCTGTGCAAATTAGGTTCAGGAATCCTAAGATCTTTAGTAGGAGAGATTGTGTTGAATCTCCACTGTCTGTTCAGTTGCCTCTTGAAACTATTAATTTCTAAGCCAGTGGTCCTCAACCTTTGGGTTATGACCCCTTTGAGGTCACATACCAGATATCCCTGTATATCAGATATTTACAATCCATAACAGCAGCAGAAAATTAGAGCAATGAAATATGATCAGGGCTTATTACAACATATAAAACTATATGAAAGAGTCACAGCATTAGGAAGGTTGAGAACCACTTGACTAAGCAGATTGAGTGATTTTATTCTTTCTGGTGAAGAATTTATCAATCAGGTAGTATTGCCTTATAGTCACTTGGTTTTCGTTAAGTCAGTTTCCTTCCAAATACCTTTTTAAAAATGTGTGCGTGTGTGCACATACATGTGCATGTGTGTATAGGAATACTAGTGCATATAAGAATGTGTGTGCTAGCTGGGTGTGCCTGAGTGGGCCAGGTGGGTCAGATACTTCTGAAAGTTGAGTTATGGTTTTGAGCCACTTGACATCGGTGCTGGGAATCAAACTTGGGTCCCCTACAAGAGCAGTTAAGTGATTTTAATTGGTGAGCCATCTCTCCAGCCTCAAACTACCTAATTTCTTATTTGTACTGACTTAAAATATGTAGACTAATTTTTTTCACACAAGATTTTGATAGGTTTCTTTTAATTTGACCAATTAACAGCTTCATAATTTAGGAGTGTGTTTTTATTCTTTGATTTTAGCATTATCATGTCAACAGTAACTATTTATATGAATATTTTACTTTAGTTGTTTTGTCAGTCTTCTTACCTTAACCAGCATTTGTGATGCAAAAAGTGAAAAAAACTTCACTATTTTATTAGTGATTTAGAAATGTGTTATTAAATACTTCAAACCAAATTCATGAATTTTCTAGTAATCTTTTTTTTTTATTTGATGCCATGTCAAGTTTACTTCATTTTTCTGTATACTCTACTAAACCTACTTGTTCTAATAAGCAACCATTTGCACTGCCTCATACTTTTCCAGAACACTAAGATACTAAATATACTTGAAAACTGAAAGTGCACTTCAGGATTTTCTGTTTCTGTGAATCTGTCTCCACTAGCTTCTGAGTGAAATCAGTTCCATAGTTGCAATCCTGCCTGTCTGACTGCCCTTCTTCCTAATATTTATCAGATACCTACTTTGAGCTAGGTAGTGTTAGGGTTAATATGAATGTGTTTCTGTATATCCTCTTGTCAAAGATTTGACAATGTTGTTGTGGACAAGATAGATACAGATAAGACTAAGCTTTCTAGTCCTTTGATCAAATGCTATAACAGCTTCTTGTCTGGTGTTCTTTTTATGTACATTGCATTTTTTTGCTATGTCTCATGTTTAATGTTACAGTCTTAAGTTCTGCTTCTAGTCTCTGAAAGTGCTTATGTCATGACTGTCTAGAATCTTCTTCATATTTTACCAAATATCTTAGATGCCACTATACCATCCTCCTCATTTTATATCAGCATTCACATTTATATGCAAACTTTAGGACTGCTGTAGAAAATACATTTATTTTACCTACTGTTGAGTATCTACTTGGTGCATAGATGCATTTTTCATTATTAAGTTCTCCACATTTTGTTTGTTCAGCCTGAGATTGGTTTTGTTGATTATATCATCACTCAGTTGATACTTGTTTACTCTCTAGAATTCATACTTTTTCCCTCTAAATTTTTTTGTTATATTTATGACCAAGTTTGCAATTGTGTGTCATTTAGTTTATATACTTCTTAAATAAAACAAGAAGAAAGAAAATTTCATGATGCTATGTTCTAATCCAAAAGTTGGCAGGTCTTAAGAACCATTCTAAGGTGTTATGTCCATCAGAAACTCAAATCTGGGCAAAAATTTCCTAAAAGTTGTATAATTCTCGGTAGGACACAACCATTTTGACTTTGAACCTATAGCAGCTGTAGTTGTTAACAGCCGTGAAAGGGAGGGGCTCTACATTCACAAGGTATCATTACTGGGGAGCTTTCTAGAATCTAGCTTGTAGTTTAATTAGGACACGGAGATGTCTATATATTTCAAAGCTGTTGGCCTATTGCTGGGGGCCATCTCCTAGCTAGCTATTTACACTTATCCTGACATCTCCACCATTCCATCTCTCTAC